GCATGGCAGGGGTAGCACGCCTTGGGCTCGCGCGCTTTCCGCTTCGTTCGGATAATCGCATCGACTTGGGATTGCGGGAGATCGGAGACAGGTCTCGAGGGTGCAGCCGTCATGTCGGGGCCGTTCACCGACGGCGAAAACGACATGGACGGCTGGTATGGGGACGTCATTGGGAATATTTAAGGTTGAGTTGGAACTACTTGGTCTCGCTGTCACTGCAGTGCTGCGATTCGACTTTTTCGGGGTTTCAACTTATGCGAAGAACGGAATCGCATAGGAGGCGGATAGACGAAATACGGGACGGTTCAAAGCTAGGAGATTGCTTTCATAATTAAGTCGAGGGAAGATCCATAGTTTTAAATCATTATTTTAATTTCGGTAACTTCAATACTTGGCAAGCTTATCGAGAATTGGTGAAGGCAGGTGAGGAGACAAATGCTACGGTCGGTCGCACTAACTTGACCCAACTATCGGACGTGTCGGTGACTAAGGCCGCAAGGGAAATCACCACGTGATGCGGAGCGGGGAAACTTAGCTCGGAATTTTGGGATTTTTTACGAAATCTCAGCGTTTTACACTGAGTCACGCTTATTTAGTAGCCCTATAAAATATAGTTATTATTCTATATCATGAATACCATACTAGTCGGGTTGGTTATTAATTTAATTCAGAGCTTATAACCGAACTAAGGGTCTTATAATTCTTAGTCCTGGTACTAGTGGTAATCGAAGTAGTAGTAGTAGTATCTAAGCTTAGGGATCATAGTACCTAAAGCTAGCGGCATTAATCCCTAAATTCAGGTACCTCAGGATAAAAATTCTTAAAAGCGGGTAAACCGTGAATATTTTCGACCTGACTACTCCGTTGATACTCCACATATATAAACTATTATTAATTTATTAATAGTAGGAGGTAATATAGTACGGAGTAGAGCCATCTACTCCGTAGATAGGTCTCATTGGCTGGTATATCGTGCGTTGAAATAAGTAAATTTGGAATACTTTCACGTTCCATTGTCCAGCCCTAGCTTAGCCGTACCTAGGTTAAACCGTTTACTTTCTTCCGAGGCTTCGACTAGCTCAATTCTCTCAGTGAACTTTATTAAACATCTCTAGGGGTGTATCTTCTATATTAGTGGTATCTATAATCCAAACATTCAAAACATGTCACTCGTAAACCCAAACAACGTCCCAGGTGCCAATCCTTTCGGAATTGCGGAATCCGACCCAGTACCCAGGAAACCTATATCCATTTCAGTGTAAAGGAATCTTTTGTAGCACGGAAGTTATGTGCCGAGTTCTCATAGAGAGAACGCTGTTTAGCTCTTCTCGATCTTGCCGGAATTCTCCTCGTCTTCGTTATAGGCAAATCGCGAGAAGCGGCGAATAGACTCGCCCTTGAAATAGAAGACGTAAGGGATGGCGCAACAGGCCAACGCAATGAAGGCCAGCAAGGTACTGGCCCACTGGTCACCCAATCGGTCATACATCTGCTCGGTAAAGAGGACTGTGGATGCTCCCCACATAGACCGGAGGAAAGTCTTTGCGGCAAGGGCGGATGCTGCTTGGTGCTGGTACGTATCGACTACGATCCCCGTTAGTACGGAACGTTTCGAAGGTAGAGGGCAGCAAAAGCTCACCAAGGTAGTTGTTGGCCGAGTTGTACAGAAAGATAAAGCCGAACCCCACTGGCCAGCCACCGATGGCAGGTCCGAACCAGTGGATCTGCGGGTATGATGTCCATGCGAAGATAAAAAGCCCAATCGGAATAAACCAGCACGAGAACATCATAGGAATCAAGCGTGCTTCTGCTGGGGGCTTCCCGCCATACTTTGAATACAGCGACAGATAGTGCTTGTTGATAAATGGCGAGCAAGCCGCACTCATGACGACACCGATGGCCAGGGGAATGAACATAAGACCGGTCGATCCGGCACTCCAGCCCTTTCCACCCTGATACACGATGGGGTACCTAACGAATCATGTTAGAAGGCAGTACACCTGGTTGAATTGGAACGTGAACTTACGCAACGAAGAACATGTACAGCAGACCATACAGCACGGACATGTAGATCGAGATGAACAAGACGATGGGTTCCAGAAACAACAGCTGGAAGGGGCGGAAGAAGAAGATGCGCAGCTTCTCACCCATCGGTCGAGAGTCCAGTTCCGTTTCAGTCACGTACTTGGGATCATTCTCTGTCTTCCGGAGCTTCTTGGCTCTCCGCTTCAGGATCGTTGGAGCATAGGTTTCGGGCACAGTGAAGCTGATCAGCACCCAGGAGACGAAGGCCAGGATCAACATCAGCCAGTAGAGCCACCTCCACCCCGCGGCGTCGGCCAGGTAGCCGCCGGCGAGTGGACCAATGGCGGGGCCCAGGAAGGGGCTTGCGGAGAAGGCTGCCATGGGCACTCCCCGCTCTTCGTTTTTCCACAGATCTGCCAAAGTACCACCGACCAGAGTCATCGGGGCGCTAAAAGCAATGCCGTCAATTGCTCTGCATACGATGAGCGTCCCGATATTCTTCGACACCGCACAAGGAATGATGAAGATGACCGCTAGGAGGAGTGTGAAGGCATAGACCGGCCGACGGCCAAACATCTCTGACATAGGCGCAAATGCCATCGGACCTAACTTGTCAGTATCCGAACAAACGAGGGATGACCACAACACACGTACCAACACCAAACCCAATGACAAAGACTGTGACCACCACGAGACTGACTTCTCGTGAGACACCAAACTCCTCAGCCGGTCCTTCAATGTCGGCCGTGATCACACTACTCGCGAAGGCGACAACGAAGCAAGTGAACGCAACCACCATGGTACAATACCATTTGAACGCTTTGGACCAATTCTTGGGGTTTTCCGGATCGTCGATGGTGAACGTCACTAGCTTCCAGTCCTCCATCTTCCCTGAAGCAGCGGACCGAACGGGCTTGATGATTTGACCGGCGGCCGTTTCTGTTGTGTATTCTTCTAGGTTGGCATCGCGGGTGACTTGACGCACGGGTAAATCCAAGTACTCTGTTTCTTGCCCGGACCCTGAGAGGGTCCGTGTGGCATCAAAAGAGTGTCCTGAGTGATTGTCTGGCATGTTGTCTATGGCTAGAACACTAGGTTAAGCAATGGACTGGTTCGATGAAAAGGCTATCATCAAGATTTGGAATGGGGCATATGTGCCTCTTATATAGAAGCGCATAGCGCAAGGCTCAGGCGTGACCCGTGGACACGCAAACGCAATTTCTGCGAGCTAAATTAAGGGGCACGAATTTTCGCAAAGATACCATGCAGGGCAGATGCCCAAGATGGCAGCTCACGAGCTCAGCTCTGCATCCAAATTCCAGTTTCCTATCATGTTGCCCGATACGGACGGCCGCGCTAACCGGATCCGGAAAGATGCTACGAGGCCACTGCTTATCGCAACGTCTGCTCGTGACTGATTATCTTTGTAGTTATTTATGTTCCTTTTTTTTTTTTTTTTTTTTACATATGCAGTACTTCCATACATCCATGAGCGATAACTGCATGAATCCATGCGCAAACAGGGTTTGCCCCCACCTTCTACACCCAATCTATTGAGATATACCTCATATTATCCCAGTCAACTCTTATGCGGCCAGGTCATTAGTTGTAACTTCAAACTTGTCGACGTATACAGTTGGTATATTGGGGTATTACATGATACTATAGAGTCTTAGCGGTATGTTGGATACACGAAAAAATTATAGAGGTATCTATGTTTATATTCTTCACATCAGGATACAAGTTAGTAGTTACCCTAACAACCTCATCAGTCTTGTGGTATCTACCAGACTGCCACAAGTATTCAACATACATATTTCGTCCAGTGCAAGGTAAATCCCTCAATTATGAAATAGGAAAGGCAAAGGTGTTGTCAGTGCCTTAAACTAGTCGAACCCAAGGTTTCTTCCGGGTCGGATATCCGTGTGGATAGTTACAGTCTGCTTGTACTATCCACCCTGGTACTAGTATATAGGGATGCGAAGTGAGTATAAAAGTTTGAATTCTAGATCCGCTGCCAAGGCTCTTGGCACCATGCCATTCTCATTATGTCATCGGAATACCGGATCACGGAGGGTACTACCGTATGAGGAAAGGTCCTGCCATTTGGAATTCTTTTTTTTCTTTTTTTTACTCTCACTTTCTTTGACTTCTCTTGCTCCAGGTTTTGCTTGTTTGTCATGAGCTTTGATTCGGAGTATCCACTTCACACGCCATGGAGACGGTGCCGAACGGAGATTGTCTCACTCGGATTCGATCTTAAGCAGTGTGGACGTAGAGTTACCCAATCCACTTTGCTCACGGTACAGGTTCCTCTCTTGAGTCTTGACTGGTGCTGCAAAGCCAATCTCAGTGCATGGCTGTAGTCTAGAAAGATGTTCTTCCAAGGTCGAGAACTTGGACACGGTCACCATGGACCCATACTCCAGACTCTCGAAGCAATGCCATCCCCATCAATAAGGTGGACACGCGCTCAGTGGAACACTGGGTCTGCCCCGTAGTGTGAACCTATCCTCTCACAACACAAATGTACCCGACTATCCCAAACCACCCATCATGACCCTGGTGGATTAGGTACGAGGAGCAATGCACATACGTCGGAGTAAAATGACAACAACCTGAGGCAGGAAATCCTCCGGGGGTAGGATTTCTCCGGGCAATGACCCCACGTGACTGATAAGGTAAAGTGATAAGACGAAACCAGCCTAGCGCGGGGCCTTTTTCCCACGCCCTCCCAAAAAGAAAGAATCAATTTTTAGACAGCAAGACGGACGAGCAGCTCAAAGCCCGTCGCTGTGCTCCTCATCGCCAGTCGAACTACTCGTTCGAGGTGTGTCCCTGTACACATCTCTTCCAACCACTTGGACCTCTCCTCTTGAGTGTCCCATCCTATTCTTCTTCTCCTTCCGTCCCCGCCTCTCTCGTTCGCCTCCAGTCTCCGTTGAGTCATTCCGGGCCCCTCCTACACGTTCAGAATGACCGCCGCTTCCTCCGATTCCACCTTTCTGGCCCTTCCCGGGTCGGTTGCCTTCTCGCACTCCCGGGGACATGCAATTGCGGCCAGCATTGGAGCTCAAGATGTTCGAGCCCAATGGATTCACTACGTTCATGCTGCTCAACCCTTGGACGAACCGCAGCAGAACGTTCTGAAGCAGCTCCTGCAATATGGTGATATTACCGATATTCCTCCCACCTTCAGTGCCGAGGACGGCCAGTTCGATGTCTTCTACGTCTTCCCGCGGACAGGAACGATTTCCCCATGGAGTTCACAGGCCACCGGTATCGCTCACGTCTGTGGCTTGCGCAAGTATGTCGACCGCATCGAGCGCGGATTGAAGATCTCGTGTCTCCGCGCGAACTCCGAAGAATACAAGTCGAATTTCCAGGATGTCCTGCACGATCGCATGACACAGGTTCTGAGCCAGGAAGAACCTGACCTCCACCTGATGTTTTCCGAGCACAGCCGTCTTCCCCTTGAGACCGTCCCCCTTCACGGAAGTGACAAGTCTCCGAAGGAAGTATTGCAAGAGGCAAACAAACGCTTGGGATTGGCTCTGGAAGAGTTGGAGATTGAGTACATTGCGGAGGCTTATGGTCCCAATGGTCCTATTGCCCGTGACCCTACCGATGTCGAGCTTTTCATGTTTGCACAGGTCAACTCGGAGCACTGCCGTCATAAACAATTCAATGCGTCCTGGGTCATTGATGGGAAACAAATGCCCAACAGCCTGTTCGCGATGATCCGCAATACACACAAGAAAAACCCGGAGTTCACGGTCAGTGCCTACAGTGACAATGCTGCGGTTCTGGAGGGAGACGTCGCCGCTCACTGGGCGCCCGACGCTTCCACCGGAGAGTGGAACCATACGAAAGAAATCGTTCACTTCTTGGCCAAGGTCGAAACCCACAACCACCCGACAGCGGTATCCCCATACCCGGGTGCCGCAACTGGCTCCGGCGGTGAGATCCGTGACGAGGGTGCCGTCGGACGCGGCTCCAAGCCCAAGGCAGGTCTTGCCGGATACTGTGTCTCCGATTTGCAGATTCCTGGCTTGAAACAGCCATGGGAACTGGATGTGGGCAGGCCGAACCACATTGCTAGCAGCTTGGATATCATGTTGGAGGCTCCCATTGGTAGCGCAGCTTCAACAACGAATTCGGACGGCCCTGCATCTCGGGCTACTTCCGTACTCTGCTGACGGAAATTGACGTTGGCAATGGCCAGAAGGAAGTTCGAGGCTACCATAAGCCCATCATGCTTGCCGGTGGTGTCGGAACGGTCCGGCCCCAGCATGCCATCAAGAAGCCAGAAGTGGTAAAGCCCGGTGCTTTCCTCGTCGTCCTTGGTGGGCCTGCCATGCTGATCGGCCTGGGTGGCGGTGCCGCCTCCAGTATTACCTCGGGTGAAGGTTCTGCTGAGCTGGACTTTGCTAGCGTGCAGAGAGGTAACGCTGAAGTCCAGCGGAGAGCACAGGAGGTGATTAACGCGTGTACCGCTATGGGTGATAACAACCCTATCAAGTTCATCCATGACGTTGGTGCTGGAGGTCTTTCCAACGCCCTTCCCGAACTGATCCATGATTCCGGCCTGGGCGCCACTTTTGAACTTCGTGAAATTGACAGTGCCGACAAGAGCATGAGCCCTATGCAGATCTGGTGCTGCGAAGCTCAGGAGAGATATGTCATGGCTGTTGGGGAGGAGTCCATGAACAAGTTCACAGCGATTGCCAACCGTGAGCGCTGTGGCTTTTCCGTCGTTGGCCGTGGAGGCGGTACGTCCGAAGAGGAGAAGAGGCTCGTTCTCATGGACCGGGACTCGACTGAGTACCCCAAGCCCATCGACTTGCCCCTGTCCGTTCTATTCGGCAAGCCCCCCAAGATGACTCGGGTCGTTGATTCCCGTAAATTGAAACTTCCCGCTGTCGATGCCACCCTCACGAAGTACCTCCCTGCTCTTGCACCCAACCATCTCGAGCTCATCGGGGAGGCTGTCAACAGAGTCCTTTCTCTTCCCGCAGTGGCCTCCAAGTCTTTCCTCATCACCATTGGTGATCGAACCGTTGGCGGTCTCACTGCTCGCGACCAGATGGTTGGTAGGTGGCAGACTCCTGTGTCTGACGTCGCTGTCACTGCCACAGCGTTGCTTCAAGGGGTGAAGACTGGTGAAGCCATGGCCATGGGTGAGAGACCGAGCCTTGCATTGATCTCCCCTGCTGCTTCGGCACGTATGGCCGTTGCCGAGTCGCTCATGAACATTGCCGCAGCCGACCTGGTTGACCGTCTCAGCCACGTGAAGCTCTCCGCCAACTGGATGTCCGCTAGCAGCCACCCGGGTGAAGGTGCCGCCATCTACGAGGCCGTGGAAGCCATTGGAATGGACCTGTGCCCCAAGCTTGGCATCAGCATTCCCGTCGGAAAGGATTCCATGTCCATGAAGATGAAGTGGACTGATGAAGCCTCTAAGGAGGCGAAGGAGGTTACTGCACCTATGTCTCTTGTCATCTCTGCCTTTGCCCCGGTTGGCAACTACCGTAAGACCTGGACCCCTGCTCTTCGTCGTCTCGAGGACGTCGGTGAGACCGTCCTCATGTTCGTCGATCTCTCCTTCGGCCGCAAGACTTTGGGCGGCTCTGCCCTTGCTCAGGTGTTCAAGCAGGTTGGTGACGACTGTCCTGATGTCCGTGATGTTGAAATCTTCAAGGACTTTTTCGATGCTACTCAACAATTGCAAGACGCCGGCATTGTCCTGGCCTACCACGATAGGTCTGACGGTGGTCTGTTCACCACTCTTGCCGAGATGATGTTTGCCGGCCGTTGCGGTGTCGAGGTCATGCTCGATAACATCTGCCCCACCTCTGGCACCAAGGATGTTGTGGAGACATTGTTCACTGAAGAACTTGGAGCTGTGTTCCAAGTCCGCAAGGAACACGAGATGCAGTTCCGCTCCTGCTTCGCCACATGTGGCCCCCCTGCTGGCCTGATCCACAAGATTGGACGAGTGTCCGAGAGAACGAAGCAGAACCTTGCCATTTATCACGGACACACCTTAGTGTATCGCAACAACCGTGCCAGCCTTCAGCAGACCTGGTCCAGCACTTCGTACCACATGCAGAAGATGCGTGACAACGCCGCTTGTGCCGATCAGGAATATGCCAACCTTCTTGATGACACCGACCCTGGTCTCTCATGGAACCCAACGTTCGACCCCAAGGATAAGGCGCTCCCTATGCTCACCAGCCTGACCTCGATGTCTCCTTTCAGTAACAAGCCTCGCGTGGCTATTCTGCGTGAGCAGGGTGTGAACAGCCAGGCTGAGATGGCTTTCGCTTTCAACATGGCCGGCTTCTCCGCCGTCGATGTCCACATGACCGACATCATCTCGGGACGTGTTTCCCTCGCCAGCTTTGTTGGCATGGCTGCCTGTGGTGGTTTCTCTTATGGTGACGTTCTTGGTGCCGGTCAAGGCTGGGCCAAGTCTGTCCTGCTGCACGAGAACACCCGTTCCGAATTCCAGAACTTCTTCGAGCGCCCTGACACCTTCGCTCTGGGTGTCTGCAACGGTTGTCAATTCCTGTCCCGTCTGAAGGAGTTGATCCCTGGCGCCCAGAACTGGCCCAGCTTCGAGCGCAACGCCAGCGAGCAGTACGAAGGCCGTGTCTGCATGGTCCGTGTCTCGGACCCCGATCCCTCCCGGCCCAGCGTGTTCTTCCACGGCATGAATGGCACCTCGCTCCCCATCGCCGTCGCCCACGGTGAGGGCCGTGCCTCCTTCTCCCCATCTTCCAACGTCACCGCCCAATCCTTCGTTCAGGAAGGTCTCGCGCCCGTCCAGTACGTTGACAACGCCGGCCTCAAGCAACCATGAAATACCCCTTCAACCCGAACGGCAGCCCCGAGGGTATCGCCGGTGTCCGCAACGCCGACGGTCGTGTCCTGGCCATCATGCCTCACCCCGAGCGTACCGTCATGGGCGGCATCGCCAGCTGGCTGCCCGCCAAGGCCCAGGAATGGGGTGACATCGGTCCCTGGGGCCGTGTCTTCTACAGTGCCAGAAGATGGGTCGGTTAAAAGTTTGAAGTCTTTCTTCACTTTAGTAGCTGCAACTGGATTGTATATGCTTGGTCATATCATATCGTTTGTATATGTGGGATAACTTATCCCTAAAAAGAAAATCTCTTCCCGTAGAAATTGGTTGTCACTGCGACGTCTTTCTATATTTTCCCTGGTTTGGAATGTTCCAGGATGAAATCTTGATACGATGGCATGTTTAAGTAAATTATCAATGAATTACATATTTTATTTTATTGTTCTCGCTTTCATTCCAGTCTGGTTCTTATCTTCAGGTGAATAGACCCAGCCACAAGCACCACAAACAAAAAGCAAAACAGAGTCATAGTACTCATTATCATAAGCCAGCGAACAATTTTATACTCATACATGATCCGCCGTCCGCTCCTTCCGCCACTCCAACCGCTCGGCCAGAATCTCCCAGCTAACCTGCGCATTAGCCCGACCCACGCCCTTCAATCCCGCAGCCAGAAAGCCGACAAGCTGATTGAACTGATCTTGGGTCGTTTTCACTTGCTGCAAGTATTGTGATTCGTGAACGGGCGTGTGTCTATCATCGTGTTCGGGCTCCTCGTCTTCGTCTTCCTCTTCATCACTCTGGTCTTTGTCCTGGCCGTACTCTTTCTGGGCAGAGTTGGTCTGGGTATAGCGAGTAGCTTGGAGATCGGAGAAGGCGATGCAGAGGTCGAGGAGGGAGATGATTGCTTCGTAAAGGGGGACTAGGTTTTGGGAGAGAAGGCATTGGTCTTCCAGGGAGGACATGTACGATTGGTGCACGGAGACCATGGTGTCGACGTCGTTGCAGGCCGAGAGGTCTTTTCGGAGCGAGGTGGTGGTGGTTGAGATGACGAAGTCGGTGATGTGGCTGTAGAGCGTGTTGAGGAACCAGAGCATGTGATGTCGGAGGGCGAAGGCCTGAGCGTTTTTTCTGGGTTGGGAGGAGTATTGGAGACGTTGTTTTACGATGGTGTGTTTTGCTCTGCGGATTTGCATGAGGAATGTTGAGAGGTGCTGGTAGCGTAGCATGGCGTCTTTGGTGATGATGTTGGCGACGGGCCAGGGGAGGATGTAGTCGAAGCAGATGGCTTGGAGGAGCTTGACGGAGCGACTGTGGGTGTTTTGTTTGTTGGTGGGGTCTTTGGACGACCGGACTATTATTCTGGATGGGTCGATGAAGGGCAAGGTGCTGAATGCGCTCTGGGCAAGTTCCGTGAGCAGGTATCGGTCGTCCCAGGCTCCTCTGCCTCGGTCGATGAGGTCGAAGATTTTCAGGTCGATGGGCCCGAACACGCTCATGTCTTTGCAGTGGTAGATATGCTCCAGCGCGTGGAGGGAGGCCCCTAGCCCACATTGCTGGTCAAGCTCCCTTCGCAGCAGCGATGATGTGAAAGAGTGGTTCTCGTCGACTATCCGCCCAAAGGCTGAGTCGAGTAATGCTGAGAACGGCATGTAAACGGAGGTGGAGTCTTCCGGGAATACATCCCCAAGTGTTAAGGAGCTCTTTCTTGCGTGGGTCTCGTCCTCCGACACATCCAAGTGTCGCAGGAAAACCATGCTTTTGCCTGCGACGAAAATCTTGCGAGCGACAGGTTGGACAAATTTCGGCGCGCTTGAAAACCATGCTGATTCATCCAACGTATACCATCCATGCCATAAGGTTCGGAGGTCTTGGTCATTATTGCGGTTGTCGCGGATGAAAAAGGAGCCCTGGTGAGATTCCTCTAACTCTCCCTTTTCCATCCAGAGGCGGATTGGGCGTGCGTAAGTTTCGAAGCACGAGAAAAACAGTTGAGCCAGGAACCTGAACTCATTCTCGTCGCCGGTGGCTTGTGTCATGCAGACGGAGTCGTAGAGGAGGTCAAGACAACGTACTGGGCTATCCGATGCGGCATGTCTGAGATTAGATACAATTTCCGCTAACAAAAGAAGCAGCTTGGATTCACGGAGCACGCTCTCGTATAGTTGCAGAAGACTGACCGCAATAGTTCCGGATTGCGATAGGTACTGTGACTGTACGTTAGACAAGAACCCGTCAAACTCGCGCAGGCGATCTTCAATGCCCCGGTGGAACGTCTGCAGGTAGGGAATGACCCGCGGGACCTGGTTGTATCGTCTTAAGATGTCTATTTTAGACCCAATTGAGCAGAACGAACTCAGCAATGAAGATAGCGTTTGGCTTGATAAATGCGCGAGTGAGTATTTTCGATCTACCTCGACGCTTTCATGAAGACGCCAAAACAAGGATGTAGGTAGGCCTTGTAGCATGAATATGGTCTCTCTTACGATCTGAAGCTCTGTGAGTACTTGAGAGGAATTGCCTCCATGTCGGTCAGTGTCGGCACTGGTTTCATTTCGCCAGATTGGGCGCTTTTGATCGAATCCACAAGGTCTTCATCTTCTCCTGAAGAGAATAGGTCCTCTGGGATCACGTAGTCCTCTTCTAGGGCTATGGAGGTTTGAGGTAAAGAACGTCCATGATAGCTATCGCTTGATACGGATGAGAGGTCATCCTCGGAGGATCCAGCGCCGAAGTCTACAGATTCCCATATATCCTCCTCACAATACGCAGTTCCGGAAACATCTAACTCTGTCCAAGATAGGGATTCCACTTGCTCCTGGGGCTTAAGCCTCTCGATGCGATCTACCTTTGACAACTGAGCCGGGCGATCAGCAAGCTGCAGCAATAACGATAGGATCTCAGGAAACCATGAGTCCCGATGTTCATTTAGCTCCGTGAGACGGGCGCGCAGAGCGTCAGCTAAGTCATCTTTATTGAGGACCTGGAACTTTTCCTGAAGTCCCTCCAGCTGCTTCGCAACCGCAAACTGGTTCGTACGGCCATGAGCATTCGCTCTTAGAGTATCTTCGGTACGACGTTTCAGGATTTTGAAACGGGGGTTTCTCTTATCAACTTTGGCGACGGTCGCAACCAACTCGTCGGTTAGCGCACTAATACTGGCGGGGATGGCCATAACGGTTGGTTGGAGGGGTTCACTGCAGAACTAAGCCAGCAGCTAGCGCACAGATTCCCCATTGCCCATCACCACGAAAGGGGGAGTTGCGTCGTTAGGAGAATTGCGACAGCATGAAGGGTTACGCGGCTTTTTGTATTGATTGGCGGCGGCAGTTGACGTGTTGTTTGAGTCGCCACGCTAGACCCATTGGGGCAAAGGCGGCATCGAGACCTTAAGCAACCAAAGTCTCTCCTATACCAACTCGATTCTGTCTCTTTTTTTTGCCCTCCTGCCTGTCTCTTGCTTGCTGCAGTCTCGCACTCAGTTGAATTCAAGATGGCTGTCGCAAGACCCATTCGCATGCTGGGTGCGTCATGCATTATTCTCATTCTATTCCTAGTCTTCCAAATGCACAAGGGACCTACAACTGCCAACATTAGTAAGGGGTCCAAAGGGGAGTATACCGGCATCCAAAGCGACCCCCTCAAGGAGCGTATGTTCTCCCTTCCACTTCTCTTTTGCGGTCTCATAATATATGTGCCGTATGCATCGGAGGCTGACACAACAACTTCTTCTTCACAGCGACCGGAGAACCCGAAGGACAATTATGGCGAGCCGACGAGCACGATTATGCCCCCGACAGTGCCAACTCCGCCCGGACTAACGCGGCGCTCATCTCTCTCGTCCGGAACGAGGAGCTGGAAGAGTTGATTCCGACGATGCGCGATCTGGAACGGACCTGGAACAGCAAATTCAATTACCCCTGGATTTTCTTCAACGACAAGCCGTTTACGGAGGAGTTCAAGAAGCGCACCCAAGCGCTGACCAAGGCGAAGTGCCAATATGGTATGAGCAATCGAAACTAGATACATGACACGGTCGGTCTAACTATACTCAGAACAAGTACCGAAGGAACACTGGGATGTCCCCGATTGGATCAACATGGACCTCTTCCGCGAATCCGCCGAGGTGCTGAAGGAGCAGGGCATTCAGTATAGCGACAAGGTATCCTACCATCAAATGTGCCGCTGGAACAGTGGTCTGTTCTATCAGCACCCAGCCCTCAAGAACTACCGTTACTACTGGCGCGTCGAGCCGAAGGTCCAGTTTTTCTGTGACGTGGATTATGATGTGTTCCGATTCGTCGAGGACCGCAACATCACATACGGTTTCACCATCAACCTTTTCGACGCTCCCCAGAGTATCCCAACTCTCTGGCCAGAGACGAAGAAGTTCCTTGCCGCGAACCCCACTTATCTGTCCGACAACAATATGCTGGACTGGTTGACGGACGACCAATTGCGACCAGAGCACACCAATGCTGCAAATGGATACTCCACTTGCCACTTCTGGTCCAACTTCGAAATCGGTGACATGGAGTTCTTCAGGGGAGAAAAGTATTCTGCTTATTTCGATCATTTGGATCGCGCGGGTGGCTTTTACTATGAACGATGGGGCGATGCTCCTGTGCACTCGATTGGTCTGGGTTTGTTCGCAGATGCGGCGAAGGTTCATTGGTACGTACATCATTCCCATATCCTATCTTCTACCCACGCTGACTGGGCTGGTCATCACAGGTTCCGTGACATTGGATACAACCATATCCCTTACTACAACTGTCCCAACTCGCCCAAGTGCTCCGGCTGCACTCCAGGCAAATTCTACGCCGGCGAGCCCTTCCTGGCCAAGGAAGATTGCCGACCTAGCTACTTCAAACATGTCGGAACCCATTAATCGTCTGTAACATCTTATTACATTCTCTGGAGGCGCTCGCAGCGACAGCCAGCAACCGTCCAGGCTCTACACGAGATTGGTTGCGTCAGCTGCAGCGAACGGGCATGGTTTCCCTTGATGGGTCTGTATAATATCAGACTTGGGACTCAGCGAGTCCACCTCGAGCACGAGAACGTCCCATTCTCTGACATCTAACGACCTCAGTGCGCGACTATCACGACTGGTTTCTTCCATTGTACATCGCATACTCAGCATTGACGACCCTAAGCACTTTAACTTGTTTCTCTTAAAATCCTGGCGGCGTTGAACGGATCGGTCATGGTCTTTTTTGTTCGATGTTCATTCCCATATTTATTTTAAAATCGTCTCATATTTGATATCTAGCCGCGTTGTGCTATCCTGATCGAATTGCTGCCGGCCTTTTGTTGTACCTATATATTTCGTGATATTCCAAACTGTTCTTGTGATGAGGATACATTAGACCGGCGCATCCCATCGCTTATTATCTCGTTTTCCATATCCCCTCGTTGCATTCGTCGCTGGCCTCTGCATATTGACAGATGTACTTTGAGCAACGCGAAAAGTGTGTATATCACGGCCGTTAGGAATCCATTTTATGCGTCCAGTGGGACATCAAAACAACCCCTCAGCTTGAATTTTCACTATCTCCAATAATACAGAGTACAATCAAATGCTCACAAGATTTATAGTAATAGTAGCACTGGTATAGAAAAGCACGTGTGCACCTCCATTCAAACCCCGAGACAGTAGGGCTCCGGTCGGAAGACAGGGATAGAGCAAACCCATCAAAGAGACACGGGGGACACCTCCTCCAACTGCATTCTAGAGTATGTATACAGCTTTCCTATCTAATCGACTGGCACAGTGGGACAAAAAAAGTGATTTGGCATGACGAGACTATGGTCGATTATTTACTGCTCGCCGGGGTAGAGCTCTTCACGGAGAGCAACGCCGAGTTCCTGGCGGAGACCCTCGAGGGCCTCGAGGTATTGCTTGTACTGGTCCTGGGTCTCGACCTTGGCCTTGATACCTATTCGGACGAAGGGTGTGAGTTTATGACTGTTTCACAGAGTCATGCAAATGCAGGGGAAGAGATGGGGGGAAAGCGCACCCTCGAAGACGCGGACAGCGGTGGGGAAGTCGTTGACGCGGCGAGCGGCCCTGAGAGCGGCGGAGAGGACCTCAACGGAAGGGACGAGATCGTAGGCGAAGCAGTTGTTCAGGTTGCGCTGGAGTCATAGCAAACGATATATCAGCATTGAATTTATCTCACATGTAATCTAGATACGTATAGTGGTGTGGAGCGATCTGCCAATGGCAGGCTGGATGATTATAAAACCGAGATCCAAGTGGATAAGGGCCATATATGGAATGATCTGAATGATCTGTGCGAGAGAAGCCTGGCTTACCTGGAGCTCGAAGACATCCTGGACACCGTCGAATTCCTTCTCGAATCTGTTACGTTGCAAGCGTTAGTGAGAATGAAAGTCCTTGCTGTTTGTCTCTTTTTTCGGCGATAGATCCCGACAGCAGGCGTCAGGGAGATTACGGCCAACCGGATCGAGCCCCTGCTGTCGTTGTTCGAGGCTCGCTCTCGGCTCGTCGTGGGCTCAATGGCTCGCTGGTTGGGTTGGCATACCTGGCAGAGAACTCCTCGTATGTCTCATCCTCGTGGTGGCCGCCCAGACGCTTGGAGGTGGTGCTGAAGGCAGGACGGTTGATAGCGAGAGCAACCGGGGTCTGCAGGCGGGACCGGGGCAATTGGGGAGCTCTGAAGAGGCTGGCAGGGCGGACGGCGCGGGTCGCGACACGGAAGACAGAGACGGGCGACATTGTGAGGGGGTTTGGAATGGAGACGCGGGCGAATTGACGTGGTGAGAGGAGAGGAGGATGGGCAAGGTGTGGACGAGGTTGAAGTCAGAGGACAAGGACGGCTGCGCTAGGATTTTGCGGGTGGTGTGAGGCGGTGGGTGCCTCAGGTTTTCGCAAGCGGTCGTCCGTCATCGATTCCTTTGGCGGCTCCCGTTCACGCCCGACCGTGGCCTGAGGCTGCGACCACTGTCATTCGCTCGTTCCGGCTCGTGATTTGTTTTTCTTGGTCCTGATTGGTTGAAGCATACTCGTGTCCATTCTGGGCGGCAATTGGTTCGACTGTTCCGGTGCTTCCATCCTTCGATATGGAACAGACTCTGTAGTACTTTAGTAGTGTCATTATATCTGGTCAATCGTTGACAACTACTATCCTTGGTGATAACAACAACCAATTCCAATGCTAGAAATTGACGAAAATAGTTAAAGTGGAAATATACAAATTATCAAGACAGATTCCACCATTCACTTAATCACTTTTGCCCGTCACTCGTCTCCAAGGGATTGCGTAATCCCATTCTCATTACATTATCCCACCAGGAACAGTTTTCCGGGCCATAAACTTGTATTTCCGTGTGGCTGCATAAGTTAAGATTATAGACTGACTGTCTCCTCTGTGTTTCCCTGGGAAATTCCCGGCTATCGGCTATATAAAACAAACCAGGTCGAATTGCGCGTTGACAATAACGCTGGGAAGAGCGGTCACCGTGGGAGGTGGTACTTAACTCCCGAATTGGCCCAATTCTAAGGATTGATGATCTGATAAGATATTCTTCATGAAGAAGCTCAATTCCCCAGTTACTTCACCTGTAAACTGGGGGACCACAAATAGCGACAGTGGTCTGGCCCGTCCTATATCGTGATGCCTGAGGCGACAACCTGGATGACTCGAGATAAGATCGATTGACAATCAAAGATGACATCAGTTTCAAGAACATCACGAAATATCTACACTGGTTGAGCCAAACGTAGTCCCCTCCGCTTGTTCTTATCCTTTAGCTTTCGGAGACTTTTTGTTGAGAATGGTGGATCTACGATTAATAATCTGCCCTTGAACCCAACCATTTATCAGCATCGATTCATCATCGTCCTCGGCATACCGAGGTACTAGCGAGGTATTTATATCAAGATGTAGGATAGATTCAAAATGTCTCTCATCAACATATCCTGCCTTCCTACGTCAGAAGTGTATCTATCTTCCCATATCATAATTCCTCGTTACGGCTTCAACGAATAAAATGGCGTCCGCGGTCATCAACCAGATTGCCATCCTAACTCCTAAGGAGGGAAAGTTCGACGAGGTAGGTGCCTATCGACTCGCCATCTGATCGAGCATAAAGCACTTTGGTCTAGATGAGAGACACTCCAATCAAAACTTGAGAATCGAAGCTAATAATCCTGTCCACCGTATAGCTCGCCGCTGAGTTGGCCAACATCACCCGGAACGTGCAAGAACACGAACCCGAGACTCTGGTGTACTATGCCTACGCCGATGCCAAGAAAGAAGAGATCATTGTTGTTGAGAGGTCAGTCTATCCTTTAGTTCCCCGTTGTCTTTCTTCATTTTTTTTATTGACAAGAACATTACAAGATATGTGAACCAAGCTGCCTTGGACAAGCACCGAGCTGCACCATACTTCCAGGATCTCATCAAGAAGGCCCCAGAGTTGTTAGGCAAACCCCTGGAACTCAAGGTTGGCCATGAGTTGCTCCAGGAATCTGCACAGGTTGTCCGAGTGTAGGATGTGAGCGATATCTTTTTTTTATATAGTTTGATGACATTATTACATATGACATTTAATGATTGAATATCTTCTCTATAAGCATCAATATTGATGTAACTCTGCATCAGTCAGAAAACTCATATGGAGAGGCTGAGTTCATTGATGCTGTGCGGGATGTTCCCTTGAATAGAGTTTGTTTAACTTTCTGTCCATGTCACCAGTCTACTGCACGATGTCTATGACGCGCATGCACTGTAGAATGCTGGTCTATCCTATACCAACAACTCGACTAAAATCTATTATAAGAAAACTCAATTTCGTCCATATTACGCATGTGGAATGATTTATTATTCTGACGAGGTGCAGAGGTTGATTGAGGATACACACGACCTACTTGTAGAGTTTACGGCGAGAAATATATAACAATGAAATAGGCACTATCAAAGTGTGTATATATATATACACTACTACGGAGTAGTATATATTTACCAAGATCACTTACTTTAATCCAGCAAATTAACACCCCTTACTAAAGAAATCTTCAATCAAATTCCATGAAAATGCTGTTAAGAATATCCTAGATCGAAGTAAACATGGTCCATGTCAAGAAATTGCGGCGGGTAATTAGGAGATGGATGCCAGCGGGACTAGTGATGATTAGTAGGCTGAGAGGCTCATCTATTATTGAGCTCCCATGACTTGGCGGGCCCTAATTGGTAGATCTGCTGGACGTGAAATTGGACTCCATCGGACTGGCTGGGACTAGTCGTGACCATGGAATTCTCCTGGAGTACGTGCATGTGAAAATCCAGGTGGTCTGTTCGCTGTTTGTTGGATCTGAATTTGCCAATACGTGGTAAGTCGAGTGAGTCTACGCCATGTGCATACCGTACCCCAAGCGTCCGGACAATTGGATTATGGTCCACGTCGGTAGTAGTTGTAGGAAATCTGACCAAAGCAGACAAAGGAAGCAAATAGTCGAAGCCTGAGGAGGGATTCCGGAACCACGGGAAGGCACATGATCCGCGGGCCCTAACGAACCGCCGCCCCTTTTTATCAAGACCGAGGTGTGTCCCCTGATTGGCCGAACCCTGCGGACGTGCCGGCGAAACCAAAAAGGGACCCAACCAGAAAAAAACGACACGCGGAGAAGATTCGAATCTCCTTGCGCCTGCTGTTTCGTCGCTTTTCCTCCTCCACCTCCTTGTCTTGTCAACCCAGCCCCAGTCCACTTTTTCTTTTCTTCTGCCTCTTCTTCTTTTCTGTTCCTTTAATATCCTCCTCTCTCTCTTCTTGTCCCTCTCTTGCGCCTTCCTTCCCTCTCCCCTTCTTGTCATTCCTTGTGCTGTTTTGACTGGTTGCCTTTCAGCAGCCCCGAGGAGAAAAGAAAAAAGCATCTGTAGTTTTCAGGGCTTTGTTTTTTTTGGCAGCAACCTGTCTAGCGGACTGCTGTTGTTTGGTTTAATATACACTCGATTTCCGTGTTTCGACCTCACCATTCACAATGGCGCTCGAATTCTTACAGAATGTGCCCCGTCCGACGATTGATCGGCCGTTTGGCATCCACCTCTGGCCCATCTTCGACCAGGCTTTCGAGAAGGTCGTGGGCTATCCCGCCAGCGAGTTCAAGTTTGTTGAGGGAGAGACGCCCATGTCCGGCTTCCGCGAAACCGCCGCGATGCTCGTGACCTACTACATCGTGATCTTCGGAGGCCGTATGGTCATGAAGAATTTCCCTGCCCTCAAGCTCAACGCCCTGTTCATGATCCACAACTTCTACTTGACCGCGATCAGTGCGACTCTGTTGGCCCTTTTCATTGAACAGCTTCTGCCCACCATTTGGAGAAATGGAATCTTCTTCGCTATTTGCGACCACGACGGTGGATGGACTCAGCCCCTGATTGTTCTGTACTATGTTAGTGCCACAACGACGAGAGATTCAGACCAATGGCGGGAATACTGACGCGTAAATAGCTCAACTACTTGACCAAGTACCTGGAACTCCTCGACACCGTCTTCCTCTTCCTCAAGAAGAAGCCTTTGACCTTCCTCCACACCTACCACCACGGTGCCACCGCTCTCCTCTGCTACACCCAGCTTATCGGTTTGACCGCCGTCCAGTGGGTTCCCATCACCATTAACCTTCTGGTCCACGTTGTCATGTACTGGTACTACTTCCAGAGCGCCCGTGGCATCCGCATCTGGTGGAAGGAGTGGATCACCCGTCTCCAGATCATCCAGTTCGTTATCGACCTTGGTAAGTAACATGGCTGTGGACAGTGCGGGAAGGACCACTGCTAATCACACATCAGGCTTCGTCTACTTTGCATCCTACACCTATTTCTCGTCCACCTACTTCCCCTCGGTACCCAACATGGGCAAGTGTGCTGGAGAGGAGTTCGCTGCCTTCGCCGGAATGGCCATCCTGAGCTCCTACCTGTTCTTGTTCATTTCCTTCTACATCGCTACCTACAACAAGGCAGCCAAGACCGGCCGTCCCCGTCGCAACACTGGCAGACAGGCTGTGATCGATATGGCCAAGATGGAGGTCGTCCCTTCTGCCAACGGAAACGCAGCCAATGGCAGCGCCAAGTCGAACGGAGCGGCAACCGCTTCTGGCCGCTCCAACGGCCCCGTCACCCGCTCCCGCAAGGCCTAAGTTCATATCCCTTTGGCATTTTGGAATGATTTTGGCGCGACCTATGGAGCGATCCGCTTGGTATAATCATACCGTCAGAGGGCCCACGGGAGGGCCTGCAGAATCTTGTTCCAGGAGTTATATTCGCTTCGGTCCCGTTCGAGTTCTCATCGGATCTTTTGCCTAACCCTGGCGAAAGACACCACAAACGAGATACTTCTCAACTTGCATCTTCAACCGTTTAATCTGGTGCTCAATGTTTTATCTGTTTAATGTATGACCATTATGATATTGGTCGCCTTCACTTCGCGACCATGATGCACGTCAATGTCGCTTTGCTGCATATGAATGTGCAATACCAGCTTCCAGCTCATGTGTGAAGGGTTCTCTTCTGCCTGGGAACGCATCGAAGTGGCCCAAGTTACTCCGATTCTTCCCAGTCTGTATTTTACCTTTATTATCATGTCTTCTGCCGGGTGCTGCTGGTTGCACCCGTCTCTTCTTTTTTCTTTTCCCCTATCAATGTCTTTTTACACCATTGTGAAGTTTTATAGATGCCAGCTAAACTTAAATGTAATCATGGTCATGTGTGCTTTCTTTTACCAGATGAACAGAAAAATATTTGAATATTATTGCTAATGTATATATTTTTATTACATTTCCTGA